TTGGGGAGCGGGAATTAGCACTCCTTTAAATAAGGTAGCCCAAACCCTTATCCCATCTGCTCTAAATTCCTTGAGCTCAGGAAATTAGACTGATGGCAGAGCCTTTTGCTTGTGGCACCTAACCTATGGACCTACACTCTGTTGAGGGAGATCCAGTACTATACTGCTTCAGGCAGTTGTTGAAGATTGCCTTTGGTTAATTATGAAAATTCTTCTGACTCTGCTTTCTGTTATACATGTGCTGCTGGGATTTATTAAATGGGTTGGATATTGCTGGTTGGATTAATCTGAGTGTATACTGAGTTTCTTAGGGATTGTGTTTGTTTTATTCTGTTTTGTTTTATTACTGTTTGTTAGCTACTCTACATCCCAATGGAAAAATAGGTGGGATAGACTTTTAAAAAATAAATAACTTGGGAACACTGGTGTAATGCGTTCCCTGATGGCAGTAGCTGCATATTTCATCAGATTCGAAGGAGTGTTCAAGGTCAGTCTCATAGCAATCTCCTTACAATAATCATGTTGAAGGTATGGATGTCATAGCCCCAATCTGAGAAGGAGGGAGTTACCCACTTGCCAAGAGTGACATTTCAGGTCCTTAATTATTATTAAAATAAGCTACAATTTATTATGGAGCAGAGTTGCAAAGAAAATACCTGCCATATGAAGAGAAATATATTAGCATGAGGAAAGTGAGAGGAAATGTGTTTGTATTATGGTGGAGAGCAGGGACTACTCTTGAGTTCATTTTCTTTTTAAATGTACAGGTTTCCCAAGTTATGTCAGACTCATAAATGGACTTGTTTACTGAAGTTCAATGGAGCATGTTAAAGTCAGCCCAAAAAAGCAGGCTGATTTCGTGCGGGAATGGCTGTCATGGCCTAATGTCAGTCAGCAGAGTATCTCAAGGTTATTCAAAATGCACTGAGAGAAACAAGGAAATCTATTAAGGCAGATGTTGAGAGGGGAAGGCAAATCCCACTCTTTTCTTCTGGTCATACTAATGGTTGCTGTACCTGGGAGATGCATTTGTTCAGTCACAAAGCTATCAGAAAGCAGATGTCCATCACAGCAAAAGAACTGTCACTTTCTGTGATATTATTATATATATCATTTCTCTTCCAAAGACCCAAGGCTGGAATATGTAGGTGTTTCCTATTCTGTCATCACAACAATCCCATGGGGTTGATTATTATACTTGAGAAACAGTGAGTTCCTCAGAGCCATTCAGAAAAGAATCCATTGATCCCTGGAAGAACATCCCATGGCTCATAGGATAGAGCAAACCTCCCTCTCCATTTCCAAGGAGATGAAGCCTTCCCTTTGTGTACATAGAAATCTCTTCCACCCATCCTGCTCTGCAATAGCATAAAGGGGACATGCCATGGCAGATTGTTGGGGAGGAGGCTTTGGCTCCACTGCTCCATGGGGATATGGTTGAATGGAAATCAACTCAGCAAATATCATCAGTATTCTCTCTTATTGCTTTCACACTGTAAATGACCTCCCCCTCCCCAACAAAAATTTTGCATTACATTTCTTTTGCATCGAAGTAAATGAGGTGGAGTAATGTAATGGCATCACAATTAATTATTTAAAATTTTGCCAGACTGACATCAAGACAAAATAACTGCAGTGGAACAGAAAGAGTGCTGCATTAAAGTCTTCCCTTACATAAGAATCACTCTATTTTATCTTTCAGAACTTTGGCAGGCACCAATTCCTTAGAAGGGGCTACCATGCTTGAAATTTGAATTCTGGCAGGAAATAAAAATATCAGAGGGTTTAAAAGATATACAAATATATAAAGTTTCCCTGAATGGATCTGTCTGAAATCTGGCAAACTTAATGTACTCGGGAGGGGATCCTTTTCCTGTGAATTTCATCCACTTATGGCGGGGGGGGGGGGAGCTATAGCCATTTTAGTCACATCAGATTTGTATCCAAATAACAAATTGAACTGGAATGACGCAGAATGGATCCAAAACAGACTGGGTTGTTGTTGGTTGTTGTTATTATACCCCACCCACTCTGGATGGCTTACAGTGCATATAAAAACATAGCAAAATGTCAAACATTAAAAATTTCCCGATACAAGGGTGCCTTCAGGTGTCTTCTAAAAGTTGTGTATTTCCTTGGCATCTAATGGGAGGGTGTTCCACAAGGCCTTCTGCCTGGTTCCCTGTAACTTCACTTCTCAGAATCAGGGAACCACCAGAAGACCCTTGGAGGAGTACCTCAGTGTCTGGGCTGAGAGATGGGGGTGGAGATGCTCCTTCAGTGCTACAGATACAAGGCAAATCTTGTGGTCAATGAACATCTGCATTATCTGGGTCTCTTTGCTCTTCATTCATCTCCCCCCCCACCTGTTTTCTGCCTTAGAAATTGGTGAATGGATAGTCTTGCTGTGTGGCAGGGTGTGCTGAATGTGATAATCTTTTAGTTCTTTCTGACCATATTACATTTTGGATGGATGTATACCAGGGGAAATACATTTTTACTTTAAAGGGAAAGAATGTGATCCACAGTTCCATATGGCTATGATGTGCAGATGAAATCTTGTGGCAGCAGAATTTCCCCCATTAATTTCATTGTCAGGAAAACATTCCCCAACACTGACATAAATGAGGATGTTCTGCTTGCCCAGAGTTTCATGTGCTCTGGAGCTGCTGGATTGAGATTTGTTATAAAAGAAGACTATTAGAAGCCCATTTTTTTGTTCACAGTATATCTGACACAGTCAGGACCATCAAGCAGCAGAACTATTAACAGAGCAATGGCTAATTGCACTGGTTAATAATGTGGTCCAATGCAAAAATCAATGGACCTCCACTCAATTTACATGCTATCAAAGGGTTTGAAATAGCTTAGGCCAGCTATAGTAAGAATTGGGCTTTGAGAAACTTCATCAACACTTTGAGAACTAGTCAGCTCAGTATGAAAAGCAAAATCAGGGGCAGTTTTTCAATCCATTTGAAACGAAAAGAGAGTAAAAAAAATCAATAGTAATTTACAATTTATGAGTTTTGTATGTAGTAGTTCTTTCAGCTATTCAAAAGCGCTCTCTCTCTCTCTCTCTCTTGTGTGTGTATTTCCCCACATTCCATACACCTTTTTAAATGTTCTCTCAAATTTCAATTGGAAATGTACTATGTTCATTTATTGATGAGATAACTCCTGATGTCAGAGGACAGTCTGGCTCCAGACATAAGTAAAGAGCTTACTAACAACAGCCTGAATGTCCTTGGTAATAACTTTATCTGTAGGCTTATCTTCACTTAAATGTTGCGTGTGTGCTTGCTTAAGGCTCCTACTTCTGCCAGGTTGTTTGTTCGTCCTTGCAAGCAAATAAAAAACAAAAAACTGTTCTGGATAAGGCAGGTCAAATTTGAAATCAATCCCAGGTCATATGGTAGCTTTACAAAAAAAGTAGAATTTCAGCCAGAGTACAATTGAGTATCACTCCAGAATCCAAGGCCTGATGAGATAATAGGTTAGGACACCTCTTAATGGTGCTTTCTGTTGCTTTGAAAAGTTTTACTGCTAAATCAGATGTGCTGCAGTTAGGGATGCTGGAGAAGCTTCAATTGTAGCAGTCTTAGGGCATGAGATATACTGTGCAGCTCACTCTCACTCTCCTTGTCTATCATAGAATCATAGAATTGTAGAGTTGGAAGGGACCCCAAGGGTCATCTAGTCCAACCCCCAGCAATGCAGGAATCCTCCCCACAGCTGTCCCTGGGTGGGCTCGAACCACCAACCTTCTGGTTAGCAGCCAGGCATACTGACCCATTGTACCTACAGATGGTGGCTTGCTAGAAACCACTGACTAGTGCCACTGGAATTTTAGGGTTACTAAGTAAGTCTTCCAACAATCCCACTTCTCCTGTTTGGAAGTGGAGAATTTGTGGGAAGCATTTCACCAATTTTCAAGGATGGGAAATATTCAAAGTGGTTCAAGATAAGCATGCATGCTTATTTTAAGCACAGAATGGTAAGTTGCAGGATTGGCTTACATGTTTTGGTGGTTTAACCAGCAACAGCTCCTCTTGCCAGGAACTGACAGCAGCCAGATTTCTTGCCACCAGTGTGATGTTTCATAGCATGTGAATATAGCATATATTACAAAAGAATGAATTTTAACCATAGTTCTAATAAAACAGGCCTCACTTTTTATGCAAATGAGTAAATACTTCTGTATGCTAGAATAATGTGAGGAGAACAAAAGAAGAATAACAGTTTAGAGAAAGATGCAATTAATGCAGACTCCAACGAAATCTTATTTTAGTATCATGGATCAGGAACACACAGCTTTAAGGAATTTCATAGATGGGCCACATGAGCTAGTTTTGGTTATTTGCACCTTGAATAATATTTTCATAAAGACTGCCCAGATCACCAAGCTTTGTAACTCCTTGGCTCACAACACAAACTTCAGCAGTGAAACTTAAAATTGTGGTGTCAGGGAAGGGGTAATATATCTGTTGAGGAACAGAATGGTCCCTACCTTGAACTCAGCTCTCACCAATGGCTCCTGGAAGCTGTCAGCATACAAAAGAGGCCCCACCCTGGGAAATGGTTTTCACTCACTGGCTAAACCAGGTGAGGGTAGCTGATGGGTCTCAAACCTTCAGTGAGTTAAGGACTTCTCTTGCATGTGAAGATAGGCTCTGGTAGATTGAACAGATGAGATCAATAGTGGGTGCAATGGTCAAGAAGATGGTTTCTGCACATGCTACAGAGGGAAGTGAGGGGCAGATGGGGCTCATTAACCTGGGAAAGTAGCCCAACTAGGAAATGTAAAATTCTGATCCTAAACCTCTGCTGCCTTGTAGGATATCTTCAGGAGAAGAAAAGGCAAAGGAGTAAACCCTACACAAATCCAGAATAGAATCCCTAAGATTGTTATCTGCCTCCTTCCAGCCACTCCTGCCTCCAACCTGGTGCCAGACGTGTTGCTCTGCTTTCCCTTGGACCACATCAGCAAGGCAGAGGGCGAGGTGTCTTGTCATCTGGGCAGATCAGGATTTCCATACTGCCTGGCTCCCCCCCCCCTCGAAGGAAATCACTTTGGAACTGCTAATGCAGTGGTCTGACTTCACCACCCAGCTCCATTGTCCCTTGAGATGGATGGATTGCAACAATTTTCCCTCCACCAAGTTATTCACCAGGTTGGATTTTAACCTGAACAGAAAAAAGAATTTCTCACTCTCTCTCAAGTGTTTCCTTTTTCCCATTGCAACCGCCAGATAAGTGGAATGTGTGCAGGAGGAAGGATACTTTGGATTGTAACTTCTAGCCCCGGTCTGAATCAAAACCTCCCGGGGAACAAAGCCAGGTCTAATAAAGAAGCATTTCCACAAGTACTTTACAAACATAAAGTCATTCTATCCCAGACTGATTGGCTGAAAATGGAGAAGAGAAAGAGAGAACAGCCTTGTTATTCATCACAATCTCCATCTTTCAAATATCGCGGAGTCTCTGAGGCCAGCCTTGCTTCAAGCACTTTTTCCTCCAGTGCCTCTGTAGACTGCCTTTTGAAGGTAAGGTGAACACCAAAATGTTACCTTTTGTTTTCCTTTTGATTTTGCTATGTACCACGAGATTCCCACGTCTTTTCTTTGAAGATTACACTGGCTGCTGCTTCTGTGTTGCTTGTATCCCCTTCTAGTCCTTCTTGCTTTTCAAACTCTCTTTCAGCTTCCCTCTCCTCTCAGTGCTTTATCTGAGCAATTCCTTGGAGCTTCATGCTGAAGAGGCATGACTTGACTGCGAGCTTTCAAGAGTCACAAATGAAATGAGCTCAGGAACTCGACGATGTCTCTTGATGCCAAGTGTGAAAAACTTTCCTAAATGCTCAGTTTCAATGGTCAGCTACCGGAGCCTATGGGGGAAAGAATGGAGTGATAAAATTAAAGGGAAGGCAGAAAATGCGAAATCAAGGGCCGTCTTGATTTAATGGACAGTAGTGGTATTGATTCAGTTCCACTAAACACAGTTTAAAAGCACATAAAATCCATTTCTTTCAACGGTAGGCATTTTAAGAGACTGCATAATGTTTAAATATCCTATCAGAGTTGCACTGTCTCTGCTGTAGTAGATCTCCATCATGACAGGGCATATCATTCTGCCAGCTAACAATTGTATTAGTTCCATTCAATGGCAGTATTACCATCTTATTCAGACTGTCATCCTAAAAAATTTTCTCAGCTCTGCAGCAGCTGGAAATGAAGCCTTGCAAAGCTATACCAAGCTGAGTTAATTCTTCAGCAAGGTTCCGTCTGCCTTCCCTCTGTTTAAAGTAAGAGGTTGCCATCTCAATCCACAAACCAGTTAAGCCAAAGCAACTTGAACATAATCCCGATATCGTAGTTCTTTGCATTTAGTAAATTAACCACAGTCCAAAGTTACTTGGATTTCTAGCACACGTCTGTGAGTTGTTCTGATAGCAGGGCAGGGAGCAGGATCAGTACCTAGACTTCAGCTCTGCAACTGATGCAACAGCCAACCAGAGCTCCCTAACCCATGATCCCATCTGCATTAGCAACACAGAAGCTTAAGAAATGCATTGATACTTATAAACTTGGACTGCCTTTACAGTATTTTCCAGTTTTCTGGGTCATTGCACAACAAGCCAGATTCTATGGACATAACAATCAAGCCCTGGAATACACTGTTCAGATATAGAAGATTCCCAGAAAGGCAGTTGGTCCCTGCCCCCATAGATCAGCAGCTCTTTTCACACCTCCATAGTCCAAGCAATTCCTTGGCAGATGTGTTGCTGCACAAATTCTTTGTATCCCTAAGCTTTTGCCTTTGCACAATTTTCTTCTGTCTGTAGTTCCCTCCAGCCTGCCCACAACATAAAGAAGAGCACTCTTCTCATATGGAAAGAGATGTGGAAGAGAGGGGCTGCCATCTAATATTTATGCTGCTGCAACTACTCTGAGCATACAAACCAGGCAATATTGTTTTTGGCTTGGGAGGGTGAAAATACCTATTTAAACCACATCCAGATGTTCTGTGCCTTGGTCTAATTTAACCATACATTACGCAGTGTTTCCCAACCTTGGGCCTCCAGCTGTTTTTGAACTACAATTCCCATCATCCCTGACCACTGGTCTTGCTAGCTAGGGATGATGGGAGTTGTAGTCCAAAAACAGCTGGAGGCCCAAGGTTGGGAAACACTGCATTAGAGAGCAGGCAAGCAGAGGGATGAAATGATGTTGTCGGTGGACACTGAATCTTTTGATATAAAGCAGAAGCTTCACAGTTAGTTACAAACCTCAAAATACATATATCCCCCTGTCTGTGAAATGAGGCCATCTATTTGGCCAATCACCCCACTTGCAAAAGGGTAAGAAATTGTCCACAAGTGGACAAGTACTATGGGAAACAGAGAATCCACCTCTCTTGATTGGCAGGCTGGCTGATGCTGCCTCACAAGAAGATATATATCCAGATAGGCATCCCATGGAAAGGAGGAGCATCATATGAATCAAAACTTTCAGGTTGGCCAGAGATTTGGCTTACAGGTCAGCACTGGTTGGTATTTTAACAAACATTATCTGAACAGAGTCTCCAGTTAATCTATTACATGATTTAACTCTAAGGAATTCTGATGAAATACTGTGCTCAGTGCCTGATTAAATAGAAGGGGCAAATGGATTGGGGATTTTATCTTTTCCAGTAACTTTCATCCCAAGTTTGCATTTATCTTTTTGCAAGTTTGCATTTATGCATATCACATTGCATGATCTTGAAAAATGTGTCTCACTGGAGATGAGTAGTCAGCTTTCTATAGCAGCACGTGGATGCAGATCTCTTATCTGGATTAGGGTGAGACCATGAAACCGCTCTAGGCTTTTTTGGCATTCATTAGACCGCTGTCCGGGCAATCTGTTTTTCCCTATATACACTTGTCAGGAGGAATCTTCAAGGACGAGAAAGGAGGTTACATTTAACTGCTGAACTTTCCATTAACTAAAACACACACATGCACACAAAACAATTTTTTTTATATGTGCAGTCTCTCTTATGAATGCCTCAGCTGCAAGAAAAATAATAACAAAATTGAATGGTGGGAACAGAAAACTGTGGCATAGGCAAGCAGTTTATGCACTGCATTATTTAAGAGCCCGGAAATCAAAATGGAAATAATGGGGGGCGGGGGAGTTGCAGCTTTGTGACCAGACGCTGGTTCTGTAGAATTGAGGTGAAAGGGTATTTCATAAGTATCTTGGCTATGACCAACTTGTAACATATAACAGATTGCTCTCACATAGGAGATGGACAAAATGGCTCAGCAAATATGGCATTTGCCATTACAAAAGGACCTTGCCCAAGCAGATAGGCTGGTGTTTCAATGGGAGCATCCTGGGAGACTTATAAATGCCCCACCAATTCACACTGGATCACCTGAAACCATTCCCCCACCCTGTTTGCTCTGATATAGTTTTCTTCAGAAAACAATTCTTCTCCTTTTCTCCAACCCAGAGAGTATGGTGTTGCTTGCAACTCTAGAGAGGGGCAAGACACACAAAAGTTGGTGTGCAGATACTGTATACACTTTATCTCCAGCTTCTCCTGCATAAGGGTGGAGCTTAAGAGGGGCTGTATAATCCCACCAGCTACCCCTAGCCAGCACAGTTTAGGACCCCCCTTAACCAAATTGGGAGAAGTGGGTGAAGGATGCTTGGGGGGGGGCACTCTTGTACTGTTTACTTTGAAGTGGATTGGAAATTAGTGCATGGCAGATGTCAGTGCCAGATGGGACAGGGACAGTAAGCACATTGCTGAAGGCCAGGTCTGAGCACCCTTGCTTAGGCAGAAGTGAGTGATCACATAGATGACCCCGATTATTGACAGTGCTAGTGCATTGTCATCATTGCAGATCTCATTGTTTCTGCTGCATGTTATTAAGTTGTGGCTCTAGTGAACCCAGTGAGGAATAACACACATTATTTGATCAGCACATGACTGATCACCTTTCCTGTGTACCTGCACCTGCATCATCAAACAGAATGCAGACCATTTCTCAACTCATCAAACTTCTAGCATATACAATAGGGAACAGAGCTATCATATATTAGGGCTGCAATACATCCAGATTTTCCCAGACATTACCAGGGTTTCAAAGGCAGAAATGACATCTTGGGTGAATTTCTGAAATGTGGTGCTTTGTCTCATCTTTGGCATTTTTTCTTTTAAAAAGCTCAACAACTTTGAGGATGTCCCAGTGACTTTTTGAACTATGGCAACCCTATAATATATGGGACAAGATTTAAAAGTTGACAAGAAGGGAATGGGAGATCATTAGGAAGTGTATAAAGGAGGGTGCAAAAGGGAATACAGTGGTACCTCGGGTTACAGATGCTTCAGGTTACAGACACTTCAGGTTACAGACTCTGCTAATCCAGAAATAGTACCTCAGGTTAAGAACTTTGCTTCAGGATGAGAACAGAAATCGAGCTGTGGTGGCACGGCAGCAGCAGGTGGTCTCATTAGCTAAAGTGGTGTCTCAGGTTAAGATCAGTTTCAAGTTAAGAACGGACCTCTGGAACAAATTAAGTTCTTAACCTGAGGTACCACTGTACAGGACAACAAAGTAACTACAGGGTTCTCTACAGCTAAGTTGTCCTGTTTAGTACAAGGTCTTCTGCATGCACAATGAGACAGCCTCTTCTCTCCCAAAATATGTACTGGGTCCCCCCCCAACCCTTTAGGGTAGACTTGGGAGAGCACAGGGGGGCATGGGAGGAGGGGGAGAGAGAGGAAGTCCCCTTGTGCAGGTGGAATACCTTGTGCTAACAGAATGACTTCAATGGATACAACCCCACATCTGTCATTTTTCTTTGATTAAATCATTTTTCTTTCTTGGGTTTTGCTGCTCAACCTGTTAAAGGTACTAAACTCAGAAACTAATTCCACTCAGCCTGTTCCCCACAGCAAGCAGATTTATTGGTGCTTTCATGCAACCAGGAGTTCTCGGTACTACATTTCTTGTCAGTTCTTACAAAGGAGATAGAGCCATTGATATAATGGGATGTTGCCACCCCTTCTTTCACTGTCTGTGATCAACACATCTTATAGTTTCTCTTGTTATAAGATAAACTGTCTGAAACCTTCAAGTCTTACCCCAAATAAATTCTGTTTTCATAACTCCATTTCTTGATTCAATTTCAGATGGGATCTTAATGACACCAACAACTTGGAAGTGACATTACATGGCTGACCTGCAAGAAACAATTACTCTCAGTGTGAGATTTATGAAGAATGTAATTCAGAAGGCCATCAACAGCTGGTCCCCTCTCAGTATCTCAAAACTGGAGAGAGTCAAATCTATCAAAATGGTTTTAGCTCCCTAGATTAATTGCATGTTTAGAATTTTTTCTGATTAATTATCTCCGGTGTCTTCAACATCTGAAGTGTCTTATTTTGGAATCAGGGTGAAACAAGACTCTTGCAAGCAAAACTTGGTTTGATGGCTAGTTGTTGGAATGGGATCCAAAACAATAAATGTGGGAAATTCAGTCATATTTTCTCTCTTTGTGAGGCTGTGTTCTTGATAACTGGCAAAGTCTGAGTCATTAAACCTAGTGATAAAAACTGCTTGAAAACTGGCCATTTTCCTTGTTAGAATATCATACATTATGCTATCACGCTTCAAACTTCTATTTATATAGTTTATTTTCCAATCCCCACAAGGAAAAACAGCCTACTTTTTAATTTATATTTCAAAATTGCTTGAAATGCAATCAACAAAAAAGACAGCACATATTTAATAATTACTTATGCTTCCTTGCACGGAAAATTGCAAATTTAGTGAGGATTATGTTAAGTTTAAAAATATTGGTAGGTCAGTAACTCATACTGACACAATTAAATGAGATTTTACTTCCAGATATCATCAGCAAACCAAATCAACATCCAGTCTACAAAGAAGTGTAACCTGTGCAGAGAAAAATCAAAACAGTATGACAGTGGTAGGTACCCTTGGGACTGGGGAGTAAGGGGTGCATTACATTGGTGGAAAGGTATTGGGGTAGCATTCTAGTGGTAGGTGTAGCAAGACCCGCACAAAAGCACACTGTCCTGTTCTAGTCTTGCAAAGGAGCTCACAGTGTAAGATGGGCTATTGCCTTTGTATGGCACTGCACTTGTGCCAGAATAGCTGTTGCACTGTTTAAGGTGATAATGACAGAACAACAAAAATACAGCATCATGATTTCCTTATACAGTACCACCATATCCTGTATAGGTTATAAACCTATCTACATCCAGTTAGCATAACGTGGCTATAGCATTGGGGCTTCAATTTTATTTCATTGCTGTTACCTCTATGGAGTTGATTCATAGTGATAAAAAAGGCCACCCCAATCAGTTTTTTAAAAAAAAATAGTTCAGCAAGTTAGCATATTAAAAATAGTATTGAACCAAACCAACTTCAAACAACAGAGGAGAGAGAAAAATTCAACACCCACCATTAAAAGACCTTTTAGTGACCAAGGGACTGTCTAATTGAAAAGGTATTTGCCCGCTGGCAAAGGGTAAGCCGAGATGGGGCCAGCCTAGCCTCTCTTATATCATCCCCAAATATGCCTCTGAGGGTAGCAGAATGAGGAGAATGCCCCCCCCCGGACAGGTTCTTCTCTCTGTAATGGTCCTTCAGATAGCGTAGACCCAAGCTGTCTAGATCTTTATAGATAACAACCAGCACTTTGAACCGTGCCCAGTAACCAGCAGAGCTGTTGTAACAATGAGTTTGTAACTGGCTACAATGCTGTTAAATATGGACTGCAAAGGTTGTCTGCACTTTACATGCATGGAAGAAACATTTGAAGTGAGTCAATAAATTGCTCACAATATCATTTTTAAAAGAAGCTTTCAAAAACATACATTTCTCTTGCCAAAGTTATTGAATATTAAGTGAACAATATTTTGCAAACTCTAGTTCCCTCCTGTTTTACATATGGAGAAAACACTCAGTCACTGAAGTGTGAAATGAAGACTTCAACAATATTTAAGTTGAATCCTCTAAATAAAATCTAAATAAAGTGGTACTCATTTATGCTACTTATAAAACTAAGCAAGAGGAAGCCGCTGGGAGGAAAAGAAATAATAGCACAAATAGAAAAAAAACAGTAGTGTGTGTGTGTGTGTGTGTGTGTGTGTGTAGATACATAGTATATGCACATACAGGATAAGTAATGAATAAGTTACTTAAGGGCAGACTGTACATTTCTCAAGAGATAAAAGTATCAAGTAACTATTGTCTAACAAAAGCTTAAAAATGCAAGAATTTATCTTCACAGACTTAAAAAAGCGGGCTAAGGACTGAAAAGTAAATGACCATCTGCTGAAACATTTGCTGCATCAAAACTCAATCTTTCATTTATGATCTCTGTCATATCAGTTTAGAAAAACAACATTTGAACAACAGCAAAGCCTTAACTACAGATAAACAGAGTTATTCATTTATATCAATTTCCACAGGAGTAGCTAATTCCCCCCCCCCCGAGGGCTATTGCAGAAAAACAACATATTGTCATGTGGCATCTTAAAGACTAACCCACTTGTTATGGAATAAGGTTTCGTGGATTGCGGTCCACTTCATCAGATGCACGCAGCATCCTCTCAAGTGGGAGAAAGGTTGAGAGGGAGAGAGCAATGATGGGAGCAGCATTGATTTGGAAGGAAGAGATATTCGGAAAGCAAAGCATTGCCTCAACAGGAACTGACAGAAAAGTCTTTCTGGGTTCCAAGCCAGGAGAAGAAACTCCTTGCAGGAACAAGTAATGAGGGAGAGGAGGGAAGGTAGGAGGACATCTGCCTAGTAATCCCAGGGAGAGCTCAATGATGAAAAGAGTCTCAGTCCTTCTATATGAACAGCCAGGACCTCAACAAGACCTCTTTGAAGGAAATAGAAGGCTTTGGTGATCCAAGAGCAATCACAAGGTGGCTCCTCGCATTAGGAGGATATTTCAGAATGAGAATGCTTTCTCACTCTTCCATCATCTTCCAATTCTGCAACCACTTTCTGACTATCTTCCTGTGTGTGTGTGTGTGTGTGTGTGAGAGAGAGAGAGAGAGAGAGAGAGAGAGAGAGAGAGAGAGAGAGAGAAATATCTTGCATGCCTCCTTGGCACTCTGACTAGCCCACCTCCTTCCCTGTCATTGGCCTCTACCACAAGTTTTACTCAACAGTTTATTGGTCTTTCTGGTTAGGCCAATTGCATTTGCCCAAGCTGACATTCTTCCAGGGCTATGGGATGTTGGGAGGCAGGCTGTTTGCTGCTTCTTATGTCACCATCAGCCACCATGACTGGGAGGAGTGGGGCAGGGATCCCCTGAAGTTTCAGGACCATTCACGCACCATTCTGGGGTATGGTGTGAAGGCACATGAGGGCACCATCTTGCTGAAGCTAAGCTAAGCCCACAAAGGTGAAGTCACGCATGCTGCCTTCCATGGTGGAATTCCATGAAGAAGAAGAAGAGTTTGGATTTGATATCCCGTCTTTCACTCCCCTTCAGGAGTCTCAAAGCGGCTAACATTCTCCTTTCCCTTCCTCCCCCACAACAAACACTCTGTGAGGTGAGTGGGGCTGAGAGACTTCACAGAAGTGTGACTGGCCCAAGGTCACCCAGCAGCTGCATGTGGAGGAGCACAGATTAGGAGACTACCACTCTTAACCACTGCACCACACTGGCTCCAACAGAAATGTAAGTAAATGATAATTAATTAATCAATTAATTTTTGGAGACACAAATGCCTTGCCATATTGAGCCATGCCCATGCACTTCTGTTCCAAGTAGCCAGAGGTATGGAATCAGACCTAGCTGGTGCATGTTTTGCGACTAAAAAGGATGGAAATAGATGTGATTACATATAATTTTGCATACTTCTATAAAGCTGAATGTATAAGTGGAAAACCCCAGTGAGCCTTCCTCTAATAACCTTGCTGCTTTTATGCCATTTCATGGGAATAACAAGCCTTAGGAGTGGGCTGCTGCTACTGTTTTGTATCCATCACTTTCAAATAACAATAAATACCTTCCTTTCCAAAAGGAAGGGGAAAGGCAAGTAGACGTTTTTTTGCATGAAAAGCAAGCCTTAAATATTCACCAGTTCACTCCACTCTTCACTCTATTTCCAGTCTCGTCTTTTCTCTAAAATAAAGAAATTGTCCAAATCCATTTCCATTTCTCCTGCCACTATCTGAGGAGGATTAATTTTTGATATTCTTCCCACCCACCCCATTATTCACTGCAGTGCACTCATCTCCTTAGTTAATTTCATTGTAAAAAAGGATCAGCTGGACTTCCTTATAGCACTTCAAATGAAGCAGTGCGACCACAGAATAGAAGACAATGAATGTTTGAATTGTTTTGTTTTAGAAGCAATGGTAGTTTTCCAATATTCCATGCTTCTTTGTAATGCATCTCTATAAAGAATCTCACAAAGCATGCATTTCCCCAAATTTTTAACACAAGCACCCTATATTTGGTTGGCATGCACCCTGGAATGAAGATGCAAAATGCAATAGCTGCATCAAAATATGGATTGGCACCTTATGAAAGTGTTACATGGTTAATTTGCAATATATTGCACACTGCCTATATGCCTACTCAAGCATGTCAATATATTGCACACTGCATAACTGCCACCATCTAAGGTGCCATATAAGACTCATTCCACATTTGTAAGGCATTGGGTGGCATGCACAGTTTGGCAGTCCCTGCCTATTGACATCAGGCAAGTCTGTACAGTACATTTGGGGCACCTGCTAAAAATAAATTTGTTCAGGCAAGCCTATCTAGTCATGTATAATGTTGGCCTGTGTTTTGATCTGGTTTTTAGCCTCTGACTGATTTTTTTTTTAAAAAAATTGTGTGTGTGTGTGTGTGTGTGTGTGTGTGTGTTTACTTATAATCTTGTTGTTTTATTATTTTGGTAAACGACTTTACCCCATCCAAGTGGTATATAACTTTTGTGAAATAAATAATATAACTGCCTATTTACCATATTTTTCCATCTATAAGACTCCCCCAAATATAAGATGCTCCCTATTTTGGGGGACTTAGATTTAAGAAAATGGGGGAGATGGCCCAGAGTATAAGACACCCCCTATTTTTTGACATCATTTTTTAGGAAAAAACCTAGTCTTATACACAAAAAAATACAGTAAATACTGCTTCCCCATCTCAGGTTAGGTTGACTCACTACCAGTGCTATTTCTCTAGAAAAAGAGATGCCGGAACTCACCATGAACGCCTCCCTTGTTCTCTTATAATGGCAATAGTGTCCTGAAACTGAGTTCCATCGAGTTCTGGCTAGAAAAATAAAGAGAGCTCTGTTCCCTACCAAAGTGAAGGGGATGAACAAACAGTGACTTTTGCTGCCCCCTTACTCAAGCAACCCCCATGTACCTATGTAGGCAAATAGTTGGAATGTACACCTGTACAGTGATTCTCATGTAGGATTCAGTGAGTGTTCAGTCCTGTGCACACATTGGTTGTGCTGTACACAAACCCTTGTACAC